GGCTGGGGTGTGGCTCAGTGGTAGAGCCCCTGCCTAGAATCCCCCAGTGAGGGGCTGGGTGTGTTTTAGTGGTGGAGCCCCTGCCTAGAATCCCCCAGTGAGGGGCTAGAGGTATTACAGAATGATTGCTTGGCATGTGTGAAGGTCTAGCTCCAATCAACAGTACCATTAAGATGAAAGAATAAAAATAAAATCAAGGCTGACAAGATGGCTCAGTCGGTAAGGGAGCTTGCCACCAAGCCTAACAACAAGAGTTCGACCCCCGAGACATGGTGGAAGGAGAGAACTGATTTTCACAAGATGTCCTCTGATTGCCAGATGCCTGTTTTGGCACAAATACACACAGACACACACATACAAAGTAATTTTTTTTGTTTTTCAAGCAGAGTTTCTCTGTGTAGCCCTGGCTGTCCTAGAACTCATTCTGTGGACCAGACTGGCCTCAAACTCAGGCTGCCCACTGAGTGCTGGGACCAAAGACTTGCATCACCACTGCCCCAAAAAAATAATTTAAAAATTTTAAAATGAAATAAATGCAAGTGATGGTAACAGCTTCCTAGTGAACAGCTTTGGGCGTAGTCTATGGAGGTTTCTCGTTGGTGCCTTGGTCTGCTGACTGTAAGAATGTGTCAGACTGTCCACGCAGGGTCAGCACCAACAGTACCCTGACCTCTGACAGAGAGGAGCACAGAGGAACTGTGCACTCGGTGTAGTGTACTCCCTGTGCTCTCAGAAGATCCAGAGTGCCATGCCAGCCTGGGCTAAATAGTGAGCTGAAGGATAGCCTGGGCTACAAGGGCAATGGCCTCTCTCAAAGACAAAGGAAAAGCAGAACCAAGGGGGAAAAGAGAGGCTCCTGGCACGCCGACTGGCTATCGAGGGCTGAGCACGCTCAAGTTGTTGGAGCTGCCACTGATGGGGAAATGGTCCAGAGCCGCTGGTAACCCGAAGAGGTGAAGCAGGGGCCAGCGCTCAGCCGCTCTACAGTGCAGAAGGAAGGCAAGAGCAAGCTGCCTCTATTTTATCCAGTGCCCCTCCGTGTCACACCTGCGGTGCCAGGGTCTGTGGCTGAGACCCAACTGACAAATGGTCAAGACGGAGAGACCACAGGGCTCAGGGACTGATGCTCAGTGGACCACCAGGTTGTGTATCCCTGAAGGCAGGCACTGTGTCTCCTGGCCTCCTGGGGGCCCAAGTGCCAGTAGTCACAAGGAAAGTAGAGAAGCCGCCTTATCTATCTATCTATCTATCTATCTATCTATCTATCTATCTATCACCTATCGAGACAAGATCTCACTATGTAGCTCAGGTTGACCTTGAAGTGAAAATTCTCTTGCCTCAGCTTCCCGAGTGCTGAAATCACAGGCGTGTGCCACCACTGTCTGCCTCAGAGATGTCTTTTGCATTTGGGAAGCATACATATTGAATCTCTACTGTTCCCCAGGTAAGGATAGAAAGGAGGTAGGGAATTACTTCTCATTTCAAGGCCAGGTGGTGGTGGCCACATCCCAGCACTCATGCACAGGCAGGCAGATCTCTGTGAGTTCAAGGCCAGCCTGGTCTACAGAGCACCTGCATAGGGCTACAAAGAGAGACTCTGTGAATAATGATGATGATGATGATGATGATGATGATGATGATGATAAGTGATTCTCTTTTCTGTGCATTTCCATCTTAAACTCTTTTCTTCTCTATGACCCATAGCCACGCCCAGCTCAGGGCCCAGTGTAGTGCACCGGCTAAGTGCATGATGAAGGAAGCAGGGAGAGAAAGTAGAGACAGACAGAGGGGAGGAAGAGATAGCAAACCCTGGCGATGGTGAGGGAAAGCAGCTGACAACTGTCTACACCACAGGCCTGTTCACCCTAAGACTTGTGTGAGGTTCCAGATGGGTGTGGCAATAACTCAGGGGACTGATTAGTTTTTTAATCAAATGACACAAGCCAAGGTCATCTGGAACCTCAGGCAAGAAAATGTCTCCATCAGATTGGCCTGTAGGCCAGTCAAGGATGGGAAGGTCCAGCCCACTGTGGCAGTCCCGCCCCTGGGCTGTGGCCCCGGGGCTGCTGTACAAGAAAGCAGGCCGAGCAAGCCATGGGGAGCAAGCTAGCAAGTAGCACCCCTCCCCGGCCTCTGCATCAGCTCCTGCCCCAGGTTCCTGCCTTGACTTCCCTCATTGATGGACTTGTGACCTTCCGTGTAAGATGAAAAATAAACCCTTTCTCCCCAAGTTGCTCTTGGTGTGCTTTTGTCATTTACGTTGGTTTTTGAGACAGGACTTCCCCGCATAGCCCTGGCTGTCCTGGAACTCACTCTGTAGACCAGGATGGCCTCAAACTCAGACATTTGCCTATCTCTCGCTCCCAAGTAATGGATTAAGAGCATAAAGGCATAAAGATGTGTGCCACCACTGCCTGGCTCTGCCATGGTCTTTATCACAGCAATATAAAACCAGACTAGAACATTATGTTTCTATTTTCTTCACGCCTTTGCTTTCTGTTTCTATAACGTACCCAACCGGAAGAGTAGTATTGACACAAATAGAAATGTAATTATAAACGTGTGTGTTTTATGTGCCACAGTGTTTAACTGATGGGATTCATGATCAGAAGCCCTGGAGAGCAAGTGATGTTGACCATGAACTCTGTGAGCTACATATATATTTTTTGTCTGGAGGTACTGGGGATGTGGTAGCAAATGGTTTACCACTGAGCCACACTCCAGCCCCTCACTGGGGGACTCTAGGCAGGGGCTCTAACACTGAGCCACACTCCAGCCCCTCACTGGGGGATTCTAGGCAGGGGCTCTACCACTGAGCC